AGAAATACATTTTGGATGTAACAGGGTGGGAGAACAAAGCAAAAAAAAGGTGTGACTATGCGAATGAAAACCCAATTACTTTGTAAAGTTTTATTCAAATCACAATAATGCATAAACAAAACCAAAACAAAATCAAAGTCCCCCAAACCCAATTCCTCCCATTGAGTACCTTCCAACCCATAGTGACTATCCATCCCTCCATCTGTTTTACAAAACTGAAAATGTTATAGTTAACTATATATATGTAATAGTTTTTCTAAAAAGATAAATAACCAGCAAGTACATGAGCAAATCACAAAGTAAACATTATTTTTACAAAAAACCAAACAATTTACAATTCTTGTGAAAAAAAAAAAATTGAGACATGCATTGTTAGCATCCTGTTTATGCAGTCAACAAAAATTTGTCTTCGGACCCAATGACTCCATTACTACATATAAACCACCCTCAAATTAAAGTAGGTGTTAAAATAAACTCTAGTACATGAATGATTGTAGCCCAATTCTTTATAACAACAAAACAGTGCAAATAGACTCATATGGTCATCGGAGGATAAGCAGATAATGTGGTATATGGATACAATAGAAGTTACAAAAGAGAGTGAGGAATTGGATACATACTGCATGGATGGATCTTGAAAACTTTTTATAAAGTCAAAGAAAACAGGCACAGAGAATGCAATACTATGATGCCATTTACAAGAAATATTGAGAATTGATAAATCCATAGACATGATAATCAGATTGTGAATGAAAGGCTGGGGTGGAAGAAAGGAATAAGATATGGAATAGGATCTGATTGTAGAAAAAAATTCTGCAACTAAATATTAATGATAGTTGAACAGTATTGTGAACGTACTCAATGCCACAGATTTTTATATTTTATAATTTATACTAAACTTGAGAGATTTTCAAACTATTTTCCCATAACTAATTTTTTTAAATAATTCTATTAAGAAAAATATTTCATTACTGTAGCACACATGAACAACACAATTATTAGATGTTGTTAAAAAAGTTACTTTTTGCATAATAAATATCAGAGATGCCTGATTGTTATGCTATTGAAATTGTGTATTCCAGTATAGAAACATAAAACAGTACTTGATTTTTTTTTAAGAATTCATTCCCCTTTTGTGTACTTCATGTGGACATTATTCAATATATTGCATGTAATTTAAAAATCTGTGTATAATTATTCAATAGGGAAAACATTTCCAAAGCTTCTTTACCTTCCAATTTCACTCCCCTGGTGTACAGCATTGCCCTCTGTCTCCTTCTTGAAAACTCCAGAGGATCAGATGAATGCCTTATGATTAAATGGGTTTCATGCCTCACTTCATTCTTTGAGGTCAGTATAAATTTTCTCATTTTGTAATCACCATCAGCAGGGCTCACTCTTCATGCAACCAGTTTCCTAAGAAAAATTTAAGTGAAGCCCATTCTGCTTCAGTGTAGGATTTTAGATATGTATTTAAAGATGAAAGAGTACTTCTACCACTATTGACTTGAATATTTTCAGTATTTTCAGGGCTTCAAAATCCTTTACCTGTACTTATACTTCTGAATGCCGAATTCAAGGAATCCTGGTAATACAGTGGTTAAATAATTTGGCTCCTAACATTGTCAGCAGTCAGCAGTCAACAACTGCTTCAAGAATGAATGATAGTCTATTTTGTTAAAGGTTTACAGCTTTGGGATCAGATCACAATGAGTCAGTTCTACACAGTAGGAAGCATGGGTCGGAGTCTACACTAAGGGAGTAGGTTTATTTATCTCTTTATTTTTGGTATGATATTTATTGAAGTTATTGTTCATTATTTAACTCTTTCCCATTGCACAAAGGAAAATGACTCTACTAGTTGACCACCAGTGAGTCAAAACCTTGTCTTTTTATAATTGTTTTACAAGGTATTGATGAAAAAACAAAGATCACAGAGTTCTTATAATTCTAATTAATTGATGAACTCTGATCCATGTATATATTTGTCAACATCCAAAGATAAGCATTTGATTGTTAAGTGAAATGTCAGATATTTGAGCTCACAAGCCACTCCACAAAGGTGATATGTTTCCTTAAAGATGATAGGGTAAGAAATCCTACTCACATAGAGTCACTATGAATGGATTTACATCTAAGGGTGATACTTGAGGACTATAGAATAAAAAGCAGACAAAAATTTGATTCTGTAACTTTCAGAAGGCCGTTTTTTCTTTGTAGTTATCAGCATAGTTCTACCATTAGAGTACTGTTTGGAAGGATAATATATTATGAAAGTAGTTTTGATAAATCTCTATGAATAATTGAGCATTTTTGTTTACATTTTTTTACGGAGAATATTTTCTTTCTATAAATATAGTATCTGGAGAACTTTCCTGTAGTTTGAGTGCTTGTGCTAACCATCTCTAAGATGTTGAATAAGCCACACATTATTTCTAAAAATAGAATCAAAGCAAATCATTACTAAAGTCTCTCTTTCCTTACAAATTCTACTCAAAAATTTATGTAACCATACAATTCCTTCTATTGAAGACATATGTGCATTTTCTCCATATGCAAGATATGAACCTACAGATTTTCTGTCTTTCTACAGAAAGGACTCTGACACCCACAGGTGAGAATACAATTTTCATTTTGGACTTGTATTTCTTCTACGTCATGACAATTTCATCTGTGGTGACTGATATGATCATTTAGTCCAGCAGTTTGTGTCTGCTTTCTACATCTATATTAAGAAAGCACTCATTTTCTGATAGTTCCTGGTCATCTCACTTATTTTAAGGGAGTTGGAATATGTCTTCTGGACGCTTCCGATCAGGGTAGTAGTGCTGCCCATATCAGTTATCAAATTATTGTCTCAGAATCCTGACACAACAAATTTCACATTGGCACAGTAATTCTAACTGTGAATTTTGGAAATTCCCAAAATACTTTGAAGGCGTCAGTGTGTTTTTGTCTGTTTCATTTTACTCACTCACATCACTCACATTTGTACATCACTCACATTTGTGAAAATAGACAAGATCCTTTCTCTGGAACTTTTAAAGGATCAACAGTCAAGTTCATATCTCAAGTGACATTTCCAAAATTTGAATAAAATATATTTATAATAACTTGGTTTTTCTTTTTTACAATATGAGTATGAATAAGCAAATTTTGTTTAAAAAGTCTTTCAGAATCGTCTGAAGATTGAGATTGTTCATTTTTCTATGGAGACTTCTGAATTCAGAAACTTGTCCTCATTTGGTCGTGTTTTGTTTTCTCTCACTGTATCAGAAAAGAGGATATTCTAGGTCATCTCTGCATGTTTCTGTTAGTTCCAAGCATTATTTTCTGATAACTCTATGCAATAATATAAGATTAAGCTAGTTGACCCTAAACCATGTTGATGGAATTACCTGAGTAATTACAGATAGAATAATTTTCTAAACACTTATGAATAATGATGAATATTGATCAAAAGCCTCCATGTAGTAGATAAAGTGTTTTGCTGACACAGTAATTAAGCAGTTGACTACTAATGGAAAAATCACTGGTTCAAACTGACAGTTTCATGGGAGGTAAATGTTGCATTCTAGTTCCATACAGATTAGAGTCTAGAAAGGCAGAAGCCTTGGAATAGCAGTTCTACTCTATCCTGTAGTTGCTGTGTTTTGCAATCAATGTGGAAATAGGTGTATTAGACACAGTGGTAGGCATTGGGAGCCTCAAACTAACTAAAATGGTATTTGTCGGCTCTGTACAATTTATAACCCACAGGAGAATTATTCTTTATAATCCACAAGAGATGAACGGGCAATCTCCTCCCATGCAATTATGGCCTCTGAAAATCTACTAGAGGGTCAGCAAGAGGTCAGTTCTGACTCTATAGCACAAAACAACAATGCAGTTTATAATTTGGCATGATGAGGGAAGTAACTATCAGTAAATGAAAAGTAGTATAATTGTTACCTGATAAGAAATACAATAAAAGAAATAAAAACAGGAAATGCAGAAAAGGATGATAAAAAAGTCTTCAAGCGTTTAAAAATACAGAGTCAAAATGGGGAGAAAATTTTATAAAAAAGAAGTAGCAAAAATTGAAACATTAACAGTATAGACATCTTACCTATGAGAAAAAACTCCATAAATACTGGAAACAGAAAAATATAACTTTGAAAGAGTTAAGGAGCCAAATGATATGACTATGTTAATTTTCATGGAAGTTTCTGTTTTGATAATATTTTTTAACCTGGGCAAGGGAAAAGCGGAAAAGTTTGGATATTGCACCACTAATTCAAAGGATAAATAGGGGTAGCATGCACCAGTGTTATCAGTAAAGTGGAGGAAAATGATGAGATTCTAGGTATATTCAAAAATAAAATGAATATTTATAATAATTGAATGAAATAGAAATGTTGAGTTGGATTCAATGTTGTGGAAAAGGCAACATACCAATGTCTACTCAATGATTCACTACGTGAAATAAGAGGAACAGTAAGAGAAAGGAACCCTCAATGAGATAGATTAACAAAGACTTAAGCAATGGGCGCAATTATCTCAGAGATGATGAGGATGGTACAGAATAGACCAGGATCTAGATCTGTTGTTAATAGGGTCATTATGAGTCGTACTTGACTCAACAGCACCTAACAACAACCACCTAACTAAACCCTCATCAGGAACCATTTAGGTAGGTCTAGATGTTGGTATTTTAAGTAGTTGTTGTTTTGTATCATCGAGTCAGGACTAACCCATAGCTGACCCTCCAAAGCATTTTCAGAGGCAGTAAATTGCACAGTAGATTTCCCATCTCTCCTCTTTTCAGATCTTTTGCACATACTCCAAATCTTTCTTTGGAAGAGTAATTTCATTTTGGTGCAATTGATGACATCTTCAATAGCAATGGGTAAATAATTAGTTTTTATTTATTTAGATATTATTATATTATTAAAATACCACTACATTTCTCATATCCTCTCCTACAGGTGATCCTTTTATCCCTCCCCCAACTAAGTATGATGATGAGAATAGCCAATGCAAGTTCTCCAGAAGTATTTATACTCCTGGGCTTCTCAGCACGACCTTCCCTGGAACCTATTCTTTTCATCTTTGTCTTAATTTTTTATGTTGTGTCTATTGCGGGTAATAGCATCATCATACTGGTCTCATGCATGGACGTGCGTCTCCACACACCCATGTATTTTTTTCTCACTAACCTCTCCTTTCTGGACATTACTTTCATCACAAGTATTGTTCCACAACTCTTGGTCAACCTGTGGGGACCAGAAAAAATCATAAGCTATGAAGGGTGTGTGGTTCAATTCTATATCTCTCATTGGATGGGAGCAACAGAGTGTGTGCTATTAGCAGTCATGTCTTATGATCGCTACACTGCCATCTGCAGGCCACTCCACTACGCTGTTATCATGCAACAACATCTTTGTGTGGGTCTGGCCTTTACCTCCTGGCTCGGGGGTCTGATCACCAGCCTGGTGGGCTCTACACTCACTATATTGTTACCGTTATGTGGGAATAATCATATTGATCACTTCTTTTGTGAGATGCCTCTTATTTTGCAACTAGCTTGTGTGGACACCAGCCTCAATGAGATAGAGATGTATCTGGCCAGTTTTATTGTTGTTGTTTTGCCTCTGGGTCTTATCTTGGTTTCATATGGCCACATTGCTAGAGCGGTGCTGAAGATCAGGTCAGCAGAAGGGCGAAGGAAGGCATTCAACACCTGTTCTTCCCATGTGGCAGTCGTATCTCTGTTTTACGGGAGCATTATCTTCATGTACCTTCAGCCGGCCAAAAGCAATTCTCATGAGCAAGGAAAATTTATAGCTCTTTTCTACACAGTAGTAACTCCAATGCTGAACCCATTGATTTACACACTGAGAAACAAGGATGTAAAGAGAGCACTCAATCACATTTTATTAGAAAACTGTTGTGGTTTTGCAGAAAAATGAGGATATATTTAGAGTCCTGAATCTTAAAGAGAAGAAACTAAAGAAACAAAATAAATTTGAAATGCAGTATATTTGAGAAGTTAATTCTATTCAAATAAATATGGACAAGATGTAATATGTTCATATACTGCTTTAGTATCAAGATGAGAAAAATTTTTCTATTCCTGTATTCTGTAAGTTATACTATAGTCTATTTAAAATCCTTAATTGTGTGTAAGGTCTTTACATTGCTTCCAATATGTTTAACAACTCAATCAGACGGTTGTATTTGTGTCACAGAATGTAGAAATTAATAATTTTTTAGATACTAAGCAGAGATTAAAGCCTAGTTCTATCTGTCCATCAAAACACTCCCATTCTAGAAAAGCTCTTTCTTGTTGTTATTATGTTGTTGAGCCACTTGTGACTCATAGAAGCCCTATGTACAATAACTCTGCTTTATCCTGTGCCAATTTTACTGTCTCTGACACACCTACTCTCATTATTCCAGTCACTGAACCAATCCAGCTCATCGCTAGTCTTCCTTAGAAGAGTGGAAAAAACCAAAATCTCAGTAATAGAACTTTGAATACTTTGCTAACAAATTAGTAGCTTCAGACCCCACTAATTTATCTTTAGCTAAAGCAGTATTTAAGGGAGCTCTGATGGCTTAATGGTAAGGAATTAAACTGTCATTTAAAGATACATGGTTCAAATTCACCAGCTGTCCAACAGGGAAAAGATGGTCAATTTCTTCCTGTACAATTTATTGTCTCTGAAAACCTACTGTAGGGTCAGCTATGGGTTGCTTCCCACTCAATGATACATAGCAACAACAAAGATGTATTTATAGTAGTCCTAGTGTTTATAGGATTACTATATAATGTATGAGGTACTAACTATGCAAGAGAAATATGGACAGTTTACGTCAACCAATATTTCCAGTTTCAGAAACCAATGGAAGGTCTCTGTGAATGGGAATTGACTTTGGGGCAATGAGTTAAAGAAGTATTTGTTTTTCTACTTATAGCAAGATCTTTGCTGTCAGAAACTCTGAGATATTTTCCATTATCCAGAAATGTGTTTTTGCACACATTCGAGCATGTATAATTTCTCTCTTAAGATGAGACATATATATATATTTATATTGTAAAAGTGAACATTTAATATAATGTTAAGAAAGAGAAGGAAACTGTTTGAAAAGGTAACTTGCTTTGAAGATTTATATACTAAAACATTCCTGTAGATTTGATACTATTGCTTTTATTTCATATCGGAGGAAATTCTCTCTGATCAGAGGAAAAAAGGTTGGCATTTCTGTTTGTATGTGAGAATTATATAAGTGTGAGGAACCACAAAAACCATCAATTTGCAACATTTCTCATGATTATACTTTAAATGAATTTACTTTTTTTAAATAATCTTTCCTTCCAAGGTTTTTTCACTCTTCTAATTTAAATGCCACCCTTAAGATTCTAGCCAGCTCTTTCATTTAATTTCACCAAATACTGAGAAAATTGGTCTTGGTAAATCATAAAAATGTATTATTATTATTGGTATTGAAAATAAGTTGACTTTATCTACCATTAACTTTCTAGAATAATTTCATTTGCTAGACAATTTGAGAATGTGTAAGCATCAATAAAATTAAACTAACCACTCTTGTATTCTCGTACATTATTTATGGAAAAATAAAATAATAATATTACTAAAAATTTATAACACAAAATTACATTCTGCCAAAATACTGATATTTTTATTTCACACCTTTTTACTGTATGTTCACTCATTCCTATATAGGAATCACAATTGTATATGCAACTTTCTGTTTCATTTATTAATAAAATTAACAATAAAATCCAGCATAGTTTAAACACAACATATTGTTAGACATTTATTAAGTAATTCACAGGGGAAAAAACTCCTTTTATTTTCACATGTATGCTTAACTAGAGCAGAAATGGCACCTATTTCCTAAACCACATGCCTATGGAAACTTTATGAACTTGGGAAAACAATGATAATTATGGAAAGGCATTAGGTCTTTTGTTCATAGAAGCTCTATGAGTCGTACTTGACTTAATGGCAATCAACAACAACAACCTGCTTAAACCAGTTTATAATTAAGGAAATAAGATATAAATTCATACAATTCCAATATAATCCAGCCAAGATATCAAAATGAGTAGTTAGTTATTGAGTTTTCTGTGGCTCCTTATCAGTGATACAACTATCCATGTTGGCAGAGTTATCATAATGGTTTTGAAACATTCCGATATATAGATATTCCTTGTTTTCCATCAATTCTCTGGCAGTTATATTAATCAGGGTTCCAGCAATGAACATATACATTCATTATTCATGTTGTTTGATGTCATCAAGTCGATTACAACTCATCACAACTCTAGGACAACAGAACCAAATGTTGCCCTATCCTGCTCCTTCTTCATGATTGCCACAATACTCAAGCCCATTGTCACAGACACTGGTTCAATCGTTGAAAATCTTCCCCTCTTTAGTTAACCCAGGGACTGGCCCTTCCTCACAATATGGCCAAGGTATGTGAGATAAACTTTCACCAATCTTGCCTTTAAGAGCATCCTGGATGCTTTTCCTCTTAGAGGATTTGTTTGTTTCTTTGGCAATCCCGGGGATGTTTAGAACTGTGTCTCAACACCACATTTCAAAGACATCTATACTTCTTTCGTCTTTCTTATCCATCACCCAACTTTCACATGCATCTGTAGCAATTGAAAATACCATGACTTGTGCTGCTCATCCTAAGGCATGAGATTTCAGCCCACTATTTGCTCCCCAAGGGAAAGATGAACGATCTCCTCTTGTGTGATTTACCACCTCTGAAATTCTTCTGGAGGATAAGGAGTCAAAGGTGCATAACACCATCACACATCTTTTATCCCAAGGACTGCCAAAAAACAAAAAGACCGCCGACCATAATGTTATCCCATAACTTCCTTGGTAGGGTGGTCTTTGATCATTAGAGTTCAATGTATCAAATATAGTTTTGAGATAACTTTCAAATTCCAGTGCAATAAACACTCAGAATTGTATTTTGGTTCTTATCAATTTGTTTGCCTTTTTTTCCGTTTAAGTTTGAAATTGCTTATAAGGTTGGCACAGGATAGAGCAGTGTTTAGGGTTCTTGTACATAGGGTCACTATGAGTCACAAACGACTCGATGGCACATAACATAACAAATAAGATGCAAGAGTTTTAAAACATAGCTACTTATTTTCATGGCTTCTACTTCTTTCATCTTATTTAAACCTCTTGTGTAGACACATTTTTAAATAAAATTTTATTTTAATTGTGATTTTAGTGAACATTTATGGAGAAATCAGATTTTCATTCATTCATTGTTGCACGTTTTACCCCCTCACCCTTCCTTCACCCTGTTCACTTTTTTTTAATATTCATATGTTCTAGCTGGTCAGACAAACCTTTTAGTTCTGTAGATTTGCACTTGGAGAATATTGTCTTTACTGAATTAATGTTTTTGTTTTGTCCATGATTATTAGGTAAGGTATATTAGGAGTTCTGGAATTATTTTTCTGCTTGAAACCAATATCTCCATAAATTTTATACTTTCTCTTCGGTTATTGATAATAATCAAGACTAATCTCTCTGCTAATAGAATTACCTCATTGATCTCATTCTCTAATAGTTTATAAACACAAGAAAGCCAAATCAATCAAGTGAAAGACCAGTTCCAGATTATTTTTTTTCCCATTCATTCATTGTTACACTTCTCTCCCCTCCCAACACTCCCCGCTAGTACACTACCCAATTGGAAAAGTAAAAGAAAAATTCTCTCATTGTTTTACAATCCCTCCCTGCAGGTCCACTCCACTATATAGCCTTCGCTCTGGACTCCTGTCATGACAAAAACACCTAATCACATATCCCTCTTAAACAGTTTTCTCCCTCATCTGTTTCAAT